ACATTGATAAAAAATGGATTAATGAAGATTTTAATGCTGATTATAACAAACCTTTAAGAGAATGGTATTTTTCTAATTTTACAACAGAAGAAGTTATTAATTTTAGAACTCTTTATTATTCATTTATGGAAGGAAATGAAATTAACATTTACTTCTTTGACTGGTTTGAAAAATATAATAGAGAAAACAACATTATTAAAACCCTTAATCCATTAACAAAAACTACAAAAACTTGGAAAACGTTAGACAACAAGATTCATACTTCTAAATATCCCCCAACATCAACAGTTAAGATAGCCATAGAAGATGTAGAAATAGAAGCCTGTCCTTTCAAGACTATAAATGAAAAAGAACCTGATATTAATAAAAGAGATATTAAAAAATTACATTCTCAATTAAACTTTTCCAATATTATGCTAGAAACTATGTCAAAACAATTAACTCGCATAGAAGATAAAGATGAACCTTCTAGTAGTATGATTACTAGCATACCAAAACCATTAGTTAAACCAATATATCAACTTAATACTAATTTAGATACAATAAATTTAGGAAATGAAAGCGATACAAAAATAGAAGAGATTAAAGAATTATTATCCAAATTAACATTAGGAAAACTGTCTATTAATACCATAGATGATCTTTCCCTCAATAAGATAAAAACCACTTATCCCAAAACAAGAACCTATTATCCAAGACCTTCTCCTGCTGATGTTCTTTATGAAGAAAAAGGAGAATTAGTTTAGAATAGTTATTCAGGAAGTGATATTTGTGAATGGAACATAGATGGTATGAGTGAACAAAATATATTAGATTTTATTTGTCAAATGTCAATGGCAGCTAGTGCCTATAAAAGAAGAGGAAATTCTGATAAAGCCACAACCATGACTTTAGTACAAGGTTTCACTAGTCAGCTTAAAGGATGGTGGGATAATTTCTGGAGTCCCGCTGACAGAGAAGCCATATTAAATGCAATCAAACAAGAAACTAGAGAAGAGGATGCAGGTGCAACTCTTATATATACAATAATTCAACACTTTGTAGGAGACCCCAATATCTTTAAAGAAAGAGAAGCTAGTCAATTAGCTAATTTTTACTGTCCAACAATGTCTGATTATAGATGGTATAAGGATGTTTTTATGGCAAAAATTACTTTAAGGGAAGATGGATTTCAGGGATTCTGGAAGGAAAGATTCCTTGCAGGATTACCTAAATTATTTTCTGAAAAAGTAAAAATGAGACTTGAAAGTCATTTCGGAAATCCTATACCATATAATAGTCTTACATATGGACAAATCCATAGCATTATTGTCGAAATCGGAATTCAAGTTTGTAATGATTTCAAACTCCAAAATAAGCTTAGGAAAGAAGTAACTACCAATAGAAAAGAAATAGGAAATTTCTGTGAACAATATGGAGTAGAACCTATTAGAGCACCTAGTGCAATCAAAAGAAAAACTCAAAAAAGACAAACATATGACCAAAAATCCTATAAAAAACAACCCTACAAAAATATAAAAAGCCTTATAAAAAACTTATAAAACAAACAAAACTTATTCAGAAAAGCCCAATACTGTTGCAAAACCCAATAGAAAAACATCTCAAAAGAAAAATATTACTTGTTGGAAATGTGGCCGCACTGGTCATTTTGCCAACAAATGTAAAATACAAAATAAAATTAATGAACTAGAAATAGATGAATCATTAAAGAAAACTCTTATAACTATAATGATTAATTCTGAATCAGAAGAAAGTGAGTTCACATCTGATGAAGAAAACAATATTGAAATTATTTATCAACTAGAAGAAGAAAGTTCTAATTTTAGTCAAGAAGATGAATGTTGTCTAGGTCCAAAACTCTGTACCTGTACAGATTGCAAAACTATTAATATGTTAACTTCTGAACAAACCCACACTCTTATTGATCTTATATCACAGTTAGAAAATGGTCCTATAAGAACAAAATTTATACAAAAGTTAGAAGAATTATTAAAAAAGGATGAAAAAGAGCAGGAAGAAAATAAAGAAATAAATTTAAAAGAAATATATGCTAGATTCAGACAACCTTCACCCATTACTGTTAAAGATTTACAAGAGGAAGTAAAAACATTAAAAAATGAAATATCAAATTTAAAACAAAATAATATTTCAATAGAATATAAATTTTTAGAATTAGAAGGGATAGAAAAACTAAGAAACCAACAATTAGTTAATAATAATCAAACCTCTACATCTAATACTCCGCCAATAGATACTAATTATTTAAATTTTATCACTACTCATAAGTGGCACTGTACTATTAAATTACTTGTTAAAAATGATGAATTTAACCTTATAACTTTAATTGATTCTGGAGCTGATATTAATTGTTTACAAGAAGGAATTATTCCCTCAAAATATTATGAGAAAACCTCAGAAAAGGTTTTGAGTGCTAATAACTCTCATATGAAAATTAATTATAAACTTTCATCAGCAAAAATTTGTAAAAATAAAATATGTTATGAAACCTCATTTGTTTTAGTAAAGAATATGAATATTCCTTGCATATTAGGAACACCCTTCTTATCACTATTATATCCTTTTCCCGTAACTGAAAAAGGATTAGAAGCAAAAATTTTAGATAATAATTTATGTTTTGAATTTATATATCCTCCAAGATCAAGAGAATTAAATCTTCTAAAAGAAAATTCCACTAGTATTATTGATAATAATAAGAAACATATTAATTTTCTTTCTAAAGAAATTCAATATAAAAGAATTGAAGAACAATTACAAAATAAAAATCTACAAGAAACTATAAATATTATTAATGATAAAATTGAAAAAGAAATATGTGAATTAAATCCAACAGCTTTTTGGCATCGCAAAAAATATGAAGTTTCATTACTTTATATAGATAACTTTGATGAAAAAACTATCAATACAAAAGCAAGACCAATACAAATGAATACTCAATATTTAGAATATTGTAAAAAAGAAATTCAAGAATATCTAGATAAAGGATTAATAAGAAATTCTAAATCTCCTTGGAGTTGTTCAGCCTTTTATGTTATGAATGCTGCTGAGCATGAAAGAGGAGCACCAAGATTAGTTATAAACTATAAACCATTAAACAAAGTATTAAAATGAATTAGATATCCTTTACCTAACAAACAAGATCTTATTAAAAGATTAAACCATGCATCCATATTTTCTAAATTTGATATGAAATCAGGATATTATCAAATTGGGGTGAAAGGAGAAGACAAATATAAAACCGCTTTCAATGTTCCCTTTGGTCATTATGAATGGAACGTTATGCCATTCGGATTAAAAAATGCCCCTTCTGAATATCAAAATATTATGAATGATATTTTTTATCCTCATATGAAATTTGCATTAGTATATCTTGACGATGTATATATTAATATTCTCAAACTCCATAAACCAACATATAGAGCACTTGCATACATTTATTAATTTAGTTAAAGAAAATGGATTAGTAGTCTCTGCTAAGAAAATTAAAACATTCCAAACAAAAATTAGATTCTTAGGATATGAAATTTATCAAGGAACTATTACTCCCATTCAAAGGTCAATAGAATTTGCAGACAAATTTCCAAATGAATTAAAAGACAAAACTCAACTTCAAAGATTTTTAGGATGTGTTAATTATATAGCAGACTTTATTCCAAATATTAGAATTATTTGTGCCCCATTATACACTTGCCTTAGAAAGAATCCAAAACCTTGGGATAATGACATAACAGAAGTAGTCAAAAGAATAAAGCAAATAGTCAAAAGATTACCCTGTTTAGGAATCCCTGACCAAGAAGCCTATCTTATTGTTGAGACCGATGCGTCAGACTTAGGATATGGGGGGATACTCAAACAAAAAATCTTATCATCAAAAGAAAAAATTGTCAGGTATCATTCAGGTATTTGGCATCCAGCTCAGCAAAAATATTCCACTATCAAAAAAGAAATTTTATCTATAGTTTTATGTCATCAAAAATTTCAAGATGATTTATTTTCAAAAATATTTTTAATTAGAACTGATTGCAAAGCGGCCCCATCTGTTTTACAAAAGGATGTTAAAAACTTAGTTTCAAAACATATTTTTGCAAGATGGCAAGCATTATTATCTTGTTTCGATTTTGAGATTGAGCATATCAAAGGAGAAACAAACACATTACCAAATTATTTAACGAGAGAATTTTTACAGGAAAATGAGAAAAAGCATTAAAAGCTCAAAAGATCAATATGGATCTCCTATGAGATCTAGTTCAGACAAGACTATTATCAAAGCTGGTCAAACCAGTGCTTCAAGACAATTATTGGCCTCGCCGACAAATACAAGAAAGTTACCTAGTTCTATCAAGACAGAAATCCCTATATCACCAAATAAAAAATTCCCTTAACCCATCATATGTAGAAGCCATTAAATCTCCCTTACTCAACAAATTTAACCCTCTTATATCTCTATGATCAAGTCCAGAACCACAAAACGTTCCTTCACCCTAAAAAATATCAAGAATTACCCCTCCAGTAGATACCCTTACTGGATCTCAATCCTACTATGAAGATTATGTTAAAAAAGATCATGACCTTGATATTATTATAGTTGAACCTGAATGGAGAGATTTAGCTCCATCAGCCTTAGCCACAAAACTTTTCACTGAACAACATCATTATCCTCCATACTACCACAAAAGATTATTTTATGAATTATACCGACTCAATAGAACTAACCCATACCTATATATATATATATATATATATATATATATATATATATTTTAAGGTATTGACATTTTGAGAGAAATAGAAAGAGATAAAAAGATAAACCATTGATACCATTAGTGATGTGATATGACAAGAAAAAAAGTGTCAAATGTTTTAAAATTATTGGTGTTTAAAAGTCATCACTCGACATGATATTAATTAGGTAGAGTCCATAAAAGGTACTTAAAAATGTATAAGGAAGCCATGTAGTAACCGAAAAATCTATAAATTGAAGCACTTGGATATGCTCTCTCCACCCAATTCTAACCCTTGTAAACCTTGATTATCAATCATGAGTGGTTTTGTACTTCATTTCTTAGTCCTATGTTCACTTTCCAATTCCATTGCATCCATGGCCTTAGCCACCAAAACTCTAAGTGGCTTCACCATTGATCTCATTCACCGTGACTCATCATTGTCACCCTACTACAAGCCTTCACTCACTCCATCACAACGCATCAGCAATGCTGCTTTACGCTCCATTGCTCGATCCAAACGTCTTCAAAACAATGACGGATCACCCAAAACTATCACGATTCCAGATCAAGCCATCACTGAATACCTCATGAGGTTTTACATTGGAACCCCTCCTGTGGAAAGGTTCGCCATTGCGGACACGGGGAGTGATCTTATTTGGGTGCAATGTTCCCCTTGTGTGAAGTGTGTACCCCAAAACACCCCTTTGTATGACCCAACAAAATCTTCATCATTCAAGGGAGTGAAATGTGACTCACAACCTTGCACGTTACTCCCCCCAAACCAACGTTTTTGTGGAAACTTAAGTCAATGCATTTACACGTATGTATATGGTGACCATTCAATGATCCAAGGACTAATGGGTGTTGAAACCATTAGCTTTGGCTCCAAGGGAAATGGTGCTATTAAATTTCCAAAGCTTACTTTTGGATGCACACTTTTCAACAATGATACCGAGGATGAGAGCAAGAAAAACACAGGACTAGTGGGTCTTGGAGTAGGGCCATTGTCACTAATTTCACAACTAGGCAACCAAATCGGTCGCAAATTCTCCTATTGTTTTGTTCCTTTCGAATCAAACTCCACTAGCAAAATGAAATTCGGGGACGAAGCAATCGTAAAAGGAAAAGGGGTTGTGTCCACTCCCCTCATAGTCAAATCAATTGGACCAAGCTATTACTACCTCAATCTTGAAGGCATAAGCATTGGAAGCAAGAAGGTGAAGACAATTATCAATCAAAATGATTTTGGCAACATACTCATCGATTCCGGGACCTCTTTCACGCTTCTCAAGCAAAGTTTTTACAATAAATTTGTGACTTTGGTTAAGGAAGTGTATGGTGTCGAGGGAGAGAAAAATCCTCCAGCCCCATTTGACTTTTGTTTCAAAAATAAGGGTAGTAGGAAAAGTTTCCCAGAAATTGTGTTTCTTTTCACGGAAGCTAGGGTTCGTGTGAATGCTTCAAACTTGTTTTCGGCCATGGACAAGTACTTGCTTTGCATGTGGGTGGTACCCGTCTCTGAAGATGATGATCCCATATTTGGAAATCATGCGCAAGTTGATTTTCAAGTGGAGTATGATCTTCAAGGGGGAAAGGTTTCCTTTGCTCCTACTGATTGTGCCAAAGATTAGCTTGATTAATCTTTGCGTTTGATTAATAAGGACTTCACTTGTGTTTGTACCGAGGAAAGAAAAAAGTTAATTTTATGTTTTGTAAGTCTCGGATTTGACCACAATAGTGAATAAATGAAAATGAACCTAGGCACTAGCTAGGGTTCTTTATGAATACATACACATGTATTCTTGCCATTTTTGTTTAAAATTTTTCTATAAAAGCATTTTTTTTTAAAATAAAATAAACATTTTTTTTTACCTTTGAATGTATTTATCTAAACTTCTTTTTTTTGAAGTCATTTTTTTTAAGAAGCAATTCTTATCTGCTTCTGAAAGAATTATTTTTAAAAAAAATACTTATTTAGAAATACTTTTTAAATTAAAAAAAATATATGTTTAATTTTCATGAAGATATTTTAGAAGTCATTTTAATATTATTTTCAACTAGAGGATTTATGGAAAATAAAGTTTCATATAATGTTTGGATAAATTTTTAAAAATAGTTTGTTGATAACTTTTTAACTTCAACTTACGTTGAAGTTCTGCCAATAAGTTTATTTTTCTTTCCTTCAAATAATTCCTTTCCAAGACTTTCATCAAAATTAGTCTTAGACAAAATCCTTTTAAATTTAACGGATATAACCTTACCAAAAATAATCGATATATAAATATTTTGTACGAAAAAAAAATATCAAAATCATTCATCGACTTGAAATCCATCTTTTGCGTCTTCCTCTCTTTTGCACGCTTCACCCATCCGTTTCTATGCATTATCAGGGCAATGTTGAGGACACTTTGTCATTGGGATCGGTTTCTGTCTTAGGGCTTCACTTTGAAATGATGCATTTTCCCTCTTTAATTAGCTTGATTTATATAACAAGTCTCTTAATAGTTATAAGATCTCTTTTGAAATATAAAGAATTTGATTTAGTAATCTCAAATTCAATTTTTGTATATGTTAAAATAATATTTGATAAGTAAATTAAAGTCATATTCCACGATATTGCCAGCATTATATCCATGAAAAAAATTAAATTAGCTTCATTTATTCTTTGTTTTAATTGCTTCTTATTCACACACAACACTGGTATGCATGCCTTTCATGCATATATTCTATTGCTAGCTTATATTGTGCTTATTTTGTTCTATTATTGCTTGTTTCCCTTGCTCACAACTGCACAATGATCATCCATATAATCGGTGTTTTATATTTAAGAACCATGGAACCATTTAATCTTACAAAAAGAATGAGAGTGCATTGTATATAAAATTTGAGTTTAATCAATAAATGTAGACAAAATTATAACAAAAGGATATTATGCACTCTAAATTAAAAAACATAGTTAAAGACAATATGGTGATTAATTATATAGTTATGTGGTTGATTTGATTCAAAGGGATAGACATATCATGTATCAAAAGAAGAAAAAAAAACGAATAGACATATCATAAGGCTCCACTTGCATAGTATTGTCCCATCATCACATTCCACCTATGTTTGTCTCAAGCAACCTAGAATTTGGGAGACCCAACTTCTGATGTGCTTGCAAAGTGCATGAAGTGTACCCTTTGTCGTCCTACCATTGTCACGGAAATTGAAAAGATAAGATGAAAGTGAACTACAAAGGAAAATTAGAAGAAATAAAAAACAGCACAAATTAGCTAGCTTATAAATATTTTCACATAAAATAACTGTTTGTGTTTCATATATACAATTAGAGACGGAAATACAGGTGAAATTGTGCCCCCTTCATTGTACTATTTGATATAAAATAAGTAAATGTTTATTTTTTCTCTTATACATTACACTTCATTCCAAATGCATTATTTTTACTTTCTTTTTCTTTTAGCACTCTTCTTCTATATTCTTTTTACTCCTTCCATTCTTCATTGTCAACTCAACACTCATCTTGTTTCATTTACTTGGTAGATTTCAACATTTTATTAGATTATTATTTATTTCTATTTATTATATTTATTTTTTATTTTTGGTTTGTTGGCAACTCTATAGTTGATTTTTGTCTTGATTGTACTTAATTAGCCGGATTGAGACACTTCATGCCTTTATATGTATTTTATCTTAGAATTTAAAATAACTCATACACTAGTACAAAAGAGGTATTTCACGTCGGTTATTTTGAGCTTTTTACGTTAGACAAAATACTGACGTTAATGCAGGAGACATAAATCTACGTCGGCCCTTTAAAATGACGTAAATTTACGTCAGACATTACCAAGGTCCGACGTAAAAAAGTAGTAAAAAAACAAAAAAAAAACATAACGAGTGCAAGCAGAACGACCCGTTCTGCTTGCAGAATGAACCCATTCTCCAAGCAGAACGACCCGTTCTCCATTCAAAATAGCCCGTTCTGCCTCGTAGAACAACCCAGAAGAAAAGGCCAATGACCTATACAAATAGAACAACCAAAAAACCGAATAGAATAGATAGCCACAATAGCAATGAGAAGCAAAAATGTGTTAACGAAACATTGATTCATACCTGATGAGCTGCAACAGTGTGTGAATGAGTAACAAAGAGTTCACCCCACTCTGCAAAAGACAAAAAAAACGATTCAGTAACAAAGGAGAGGGAGAGGGTTTACAGAGAAAAAAATGAAAAGTGATGAAGAGTGAATGCGCGCGGTGTGCCTCGTACTCTCTTATTCAATTTCGCGTGCTTTTTTTACGTCGGACCTGGTAGGGTCCGACGTAAAAAAGTTTGCAAAAATTACAAAAATGCCACCGCGTCTTTTTTACGTCAGATTTTAGTGTGTCCAACGTTAAAGAGGTGACGTAATATACTAATTTTCCACTAGTGATATATGAATTAATTCATTTATTGGTATATATTGGTATAAATAATTTTACACTATTTATATAATTATTTTTTTTTATTATCAATATTCATTAATGAAGTGCATATGAATTGCATTATTGATTTTTTTATTAATATATACAATTTATTTTATCTACAATAATGGTTAAAATATATTTAAAAATTTATGCTCTACATAATTATATTTGTAAGCAAAGATCATAGTAATATATATA